GGGGGAACCACAGCGGCCCCCCCCTAACTCCCTCCAGGGCCAGCGTTGAGGAAGTAGGTGGTCATCTCCCCCTTGCCCTTGACCTTGACCAGCCCCCGGCACTCCAGCACGTAGCCCTTGGCTGCCAGCACCTGGTACAGGTCCGTTGTCACCTGATAGAGGGGGACATGGGGGTGAGGGTGAGGCTCGGGGGGAGTCCTGTTCCCCCCCTCCCTGTACCCCAGCTGACCTGGATGCGATCAGGGACACCGGTGCTGTCCATGCGGCTGGAGACATTGACAGTGTTGCCCCAGATGTCGTACTGTGGCTTGCGTGCTCCGATCACCCCTGCCACCACCGGCCCCATGTTCAGGCCTGGCGGGGAACGCAGAGTGTCACAGCCCCCCCCCTTCCACAGGGGAGAGGGCTTGGGTAGGGTGAGAGGGGAAAAGTGGGGCACAAAGGGGGATGGGGGCAAAGGTTTGTGTGTGCAAAGGGGGGTGCGAAGGCAAAGGGGGGTGTAAAGGGGTGTGCAAGGGCTAAGGGGGGGCAGGCAAGAGTTTGTGTGTGCAAAGGGGGGTGCAAGGGGTAAGGGGGCACAAAAGGGGGATGCGGGCAAAGGGGAGGGGGTAGGCAATGGGGGGTGTGTGCAGAGGGGTGTGTGATAATGAAGGGGTGTGCAAAGGCTCTGCATGTGCAAAGGAGTGTGTGATGGCAAAGGAGTGGGCAAATGGGTATGCAAGGGCTAAGGTGGCGGGCAAAGGGAAGGTGTGCAAAGGGTTTGTGTGTGCAAAACAGTGTGTAAAGGGGTGTCTTGAGGACCTTGTGTGCAAGGGCCAGTGTGTACAAGGGGCAAGAGGCAGCCCAAGCGGGATGTGGGCGAAGGGGAGTGGGAGGATTTGTGTATGCAAAGGGGTCTGCATGTGCAAAGGGGGGTGTGAAGACAAAGGAGCATGCAAATAGGCATGCAAGGGGCCCTCACCGATCTTCATCTGGAAGTTGTTGAAGGAGTGCTCGTTGATGTACTTCATCTGCTCCATCAGGTGCATGGCATAGTCGGCCAGCGCCGCGATGTGGCTCCGGCCCTCCCGGTCGTAGGTGGAGGCATTGAGCCCTGAGGCCGCCATGTAGGTGCTGCCGATTGTCTTGATCTTCTCCAGCTGACGGTACTTCTGCTCGCTGATGATCTGGGGTGGGGGGCAGCGTCACCCAAACCCCATCTCTCTAGGGCCCCGTGCATCCCATCCCTGTGCACCCCATGCACGCTATTCCACGGCCTCGCCAGCACGCCATCCCATGGTCTCCCCACACCCCATGCATGGTGCTCAACAGCCTCTCCAGCACCCCGTGCATCTCATCTCCTGCATCCCATCCCCATGCACCCCATCCCATGGCTCCATGAACATTGCTCCATGGCCGCTCCAGCACCACATCCCTGTGCACTTCATCTCCACACACCCCATCCTCTGGTCTCCCCATGCACAGAGGTCCACAGCCTCTCCAACACCCTGTGCACCCCATCTTCCTGCACCCCATCCCTGTACACCCCACACGTGCTGCTCCACAGCCTCTCTAGCACCCCACACACCCCATCTCCATACAGCCCGTACCCACAATTCACCCCATGGCACCCCACTCCACCCTCTGGCACCTCATCGAAGTCGGCAATGATCTCGTTGAGCAGCCGCAGGCACTCAACACCCTCATTGTTGGCCTCCAGCTCGACGTAGAACTCAGAGAAGTTGCTGATGGAGGCAAACATGACAGCCACGCACTCGCAGGACTGATAGTAGAGCTCATCGTTGCGACGCTCCCGCGCTAGGAAATGTGCTGCCACATCCTTGGGCAGGATGTTGTGCAGTAGCCGCCGGTTGTACGCCTGCAGCTCCTCCATCTCCTCTTTCTCGCCCGTCGCCTGCATCACACAGTGCCATATAGAAGCCAAGCTGGACCCCTGCGTCTGCCCCAGGGTGTGGGGAGGGGGTTGGCCCTGGCCTCTTTCCCCTTGCCCCCAGGTCCTACCTGCAGCTTCCAGAGGAAGTCGAGGCGGGCGGTGGACTCAACCTGCTGCGCGTGCAGGTACAGCGCCAGCGCGAAGATGGCCAGGATGACGGGGGTGATGTACCGCAGGGCCACCTTCCCCTCCGCCGGGCTGCGGGCAGCCCTCACCCGCTTGAGCCAGGGTGCCAGACGAGTCCATACCCACCCCAGGGACCCCAACACAGCACCCACCCTATAAGAACCCAATCCCCGTAAGATGCACCCACCCAAGGGTTCCCCTAAGATGCACCTATTCCAGGGACCTCAAACCTATGCTCAACCCCATAAGGTGCACCCACCGCAGGGACCCCAAGGTTGCACCCACCCTGTAACATGCACCTGCCCCAGGGACCCCAAACCTGCACCCAGACCCCAAAGATGCACCCACCCAAGGGATCCCCCAAGATTCACCCAACCCCTAAGCTGCACCCACCCATCCCATAAGATGCACCCATCCTCGCAGCACAGACCCCCAGGGGACTCTCCTGCTGCTACCCACCCTCACCCCGCTGGTCCCAGTTCCCCACTGGTCCCAGTTCCCCGCTGGTCCCAGTTCCCCGCTCACCATTCGCCCTGGGTCACATTGAAGGAGGGCCTGGGGGGGAGAGGAGTCGGGGGTTAGCAGGGTGGGGATGCAGCTCCTGGGAGGGGGATGGGATGGACAACCCCGAGTGGGGTGACACCAGGCACTCACAGGGCGTTGGCCACCACCAGCAGGTCAGCGTTGTCAAAGAGGGTGGCCTGCGGCCCCTCCACCAGCACCAGGTAGGTGGCCTCGATGGCCACCATGAGCAGCAGCTTGCCGATGCTGCTGATGTGCAGGAAGACGGAGCAGGCCAGCAGGCTCAGCACCACGCTGTAGTTGAAGTACTGTGGGAGAGACACTGTGGGGATGCACCAGCATCCTGTGGGGAACCCCTGCTGGCACCCCACACCCATGGGGACCTTGCACCCATGGGGACCACCTGCCAGCACCCAGAACCCTCAGGGCCTCTGTGCCAGCTCCCATGGAGGACCTTGCACCTGCAAGGACCTATGCCAGCACCCTGTATCTGCAGGCATCCTGTACCCTTCAGGACACTTCACCTGCAGCACCCCATACCCTTGGGGACCTCATGCCAGCACCCCTGGGGACACAGCACCTGCAAGGACCCCATGCCATCACACTGCATCTTTGAGGACACCATGCCAGCAGCCTGGAGGATACTGTGCCTGCGGGGACTCGGTGCTGGCACCCTGTACCCTCAGGGACCCCATGCCAGCATCCTCGGGGCCACTGTGGCTGCAGGGACCCTGTGCCAGCACCCTGCATGCTCAGAGACCCTGTGCCAGTGCCTGCGCAGGACTTTGCACCCACGGGGACCTATGCCAGCACCCTGCATCTGTGGGGACCCCATTCCAGCACCCTGGGGGACACAGCACCAAATGGGGACCCCCTGGCAGCATCTTGCATCCTCCGGGACTCTGTGCCGGCACCCAAGGAGGACCTTGCACTGGCAGGGACCCACTGTAGGACCCCGTCCCAGTGCCCTGCACACGCGGGTGCCCCATGGCCACTCACCTCAGGGAAGTCACAGGCCAGCCCATCATGGTGGCAGGGACCCGCAGGTGTCCCCAGGGAGAAGTTGAGGGCCCGAAGCTGGCAGGGTCCCACAGCCTCGGGGGGGATGTTGAGCTCATGGGCAGCGCAGTCCCGCAGGGCCCCCCGGCTGCAGGCAAACTGGGAGGGGAGAGAGGGGTGAGCCGGTGCCCCGCAGCTCCCCACACCCTCCTGACCCCACGCCCCTACCATGTTGACGAAGGCAGCGATGAAGACAAGGAGGATGGTGAAGACCCCAATGATGGTGCTGTGAGCGCGGGACTGGACAATCTTCTGGGACAGCTGCTGCAGGGTGGTGGGGAAGAGCTGTGGGTGCAGAGGGACCCCATCATGTGCCGCAGAGCTCCCCACATCTCCCCACCCGTCAGCCCTGTACTCACAGTGATGCAGGAGTAAACGGCACAGACGAAGAGGATGGCAGCAAGGAGGATGAAGATGCTGACGTAAATGCCGAGCATCACTGGGGAACTGGGAGAGAGGTGGCCATGAGTGCCGGCGCAGGCTGGGGACCAGGGGT